GCATACTAATATTAGTATCTTGAGAAGGAATATATACTGTTTCTATATTTCATTTTCCACAATTATAGCATTTAGTTTGAGACAAATTCAAAGTTCCTTTTAAAGCAGCAGCTATTAGACTGGCTTGATAAGAAGTAGTTCCAATGTCCATACAAGCACGTATATATTCATCTAAGAGAGAATTCTCAACTTTCAATGGTCTAATAGACTTTTGACATTCTGAATTAGGATTTTCATATGCTAAAGTTTTTAACAAAAGCTCACGAACCTTGGTTTGAGATACTGCTCTATCAAATGCATCCTTTAATCTAGATTAAAAAAATCACTATATTTTTTCCTTTTCAGATTGTGTTATTCTGATAAAGAATTGATCTCCCTTTTGCTGAGCTCTTTGTCAAGCTCTTGAGTAAAACTGTATTCTATTTATGATTTAAACCAGCAACAGTGTTTCTTAATGTACTGAAACAACTGCAAATATGACTTTTCTCTTACTTTTACCCCTGAGCTCTTAAGTAATTCTTTAAGTAATATAATTACTAAGCTTCAGAGGATGGGCTGTTTCCCATGATTCTACCTCTGGATTTTTAACCCATTTATTTGAGACACGGGGGTTTCATCCCCATGAAATTTTTGTCGAATTCTTCCCTTGACTTTGTCTTTCAAGGGGTGAGAGAATCCTCATGAAATTTTTTTCTAATTCTACCCTTGACTTCCAAGGAGTGAGGATTTTCTTATGACCCTGTCTTTAATTTTCCTGAAAGTTTCACTTATCCTGAGTGAATTTCCTTTCAGTTCCTGATACCTTCTCAAAAAAGAGAGAGAGAGACATAAAGAGAGACCACCACCTTATCCAAAGAGAAACCACCACCTTGTCCCAGGTCTGAGTGCCAGAATGCTGCAGACGGAGGGTAAAGTAATAATGAGACAGACAACCAAGAATGAGATAAGAGAGAGTAAACACAGGGGGCCAGCAGTCCTGACGACTGAGTAGAAAACAAAATAAAAATCACAATAATTTGACAGATCAGCAAGATACATATGTTGGAGTAGTGGTTCTTAACTTGGTATAGTTTTTAGTGTATCGAACATGGCTTTTTGTGAATGCAAAGGTTCATTATTGAAGTGTGTCATTATTCACCTGTGATTTCCTGTGCTATGATAATCTAGACTAATTTATGAAAGCAGAATTCCTTTTATCTCTGATCCAGAAATAAAAATATCCTCTTGTGGTTATTTTAAAGTAAGAAGCATTTCTTGAAGTACATGTACTACAACTATATGTACAATTTTGGATATAGGTGTGGCATTCACTTCCTAAATAACATGTCTCTGGAAACTCTATGAACTTCGACAAATGCCTTTAGTTGTGGAGGGGCTTCAAGCTTTTTGTTCATAGGGTTGCTATGAGTCATGCTCGACTCAAAGGCAATCAACAAAAGCAACAAGATATATGATTACTAGAACTTAATATAACTATTATGCAACTATAGATACCAACTACTGAAGTAGAGATGAAGAAATTGAAGATTTCTATCAACTTTTTCAGTCTGAAATGGATTAAACTTGAAATCAAAATGTATTAAAAATAATTTGTGACTGGAATGCAAAAGTTGGAAGCAAAAAAAGAAAAGTAGCTTGAAAATATGGTTTGGTGAGAGAAATGAAACTGGAGATTGCATGATAGAATTTTGTACAATCAATTATTTAGTCAATACAAATACTTAATAATAAATCCCCCTATGAACAGCCCCTAAACACATGGGCCTTACTTGAAAGATTACACAGGGCTCAGATTAGCTCAATCTGTAGAAAAATGTGCTACAGAAGATTACTATTATCAGCCAAAACAAAGTCAAGAACTGACTGTGGAACAAGACCATCAACTACTCAAGTTCAAAGTTAATGTGAAGGAAATGAAAGCAAGTTATCGTAAACTAAAATACAACTTTGAGTCAACTTCAAACGAACTTAAAAACTACCTCAGGTGTCAATTTGACGCATTTAATGCTAATACTCAAAGACCGGGTGAGTTTTTTAGTTTTGAGATCACATCAAAGATATTATACTTGAACAAAGGAAAAGATTGTTTCAAACACAGAGAGGGCAGAAATAGAAAAATAAAAAAATACAGATAAGAAATGAAATACCAAAATGAATGGTAGAAGACTCTCTGACACTTGAACTAGAAAGTAGAAAGGCAAAAAACCAAAGGGTAAAAATGCTGAAGTAAGAGAAATAAACAGAATAAATCAAAAGGTAGCTATAGAAGATAAAAAGAAGTATTTTAGTGAAATGTGCAAAGATCTGGAGTTAGAAAATCAAAACAGAAGAATATATTCAATATTTCTCAAACTGAAAAACAGATTCAAGCCTCAAGTTGCATTACTGAAGAATTCTGTTGGCAAAATCTTGAATGATGCAGGAATCATCAAAAGAAGATGAAAAGAATACATAAATAGAATTATTGTACCAAAAAGACTGGTATATTTCAGGATACACTGACATATTTCAGAAAGTAACATATAATCTAGAATCAATAGTATTGAAGGAAGAAGCCTGACCTGCACTGTAGACAGTGCTTTCAGGAATTGATAGAATACCTATTAAGATATTTCCAGAAACAGATGCCTCCATGGATATGCTCACTATTCTGTACACTGAATTTGAAGACCGTTACCTGTCCAACTAACTTGAAGAGTTCTATATGTTTCCCATTCCAGAAAAAAAAAAGAAAAGACGATCCAATAAGGTATGTAAATTATCAGAAAATGCCACATATACAGAAGATCTTTATGAAGATTATTTTAAAATGGCTAAAACAGCACATTGACAGGAATTATAAAAAAAATTCAAGCTCAATTCAAAACAAGCTTTGAAATGTGAACTATCAGATAAATCTTGACTGAAAGATAAAAATACCAGAAGAACATTTACTTGTTTTATTTATTATGCAAATGCATTTGATTGTATGAATCATAGCAAATTATGGTTAACATTGAGAAGAATGAGAACCCCAGAACACTTAATTATGTTAATATGAAACCTTTTCATAGACCAAGAAGCAGCTGTCCAAACAGAAAAATGGGAAATTGAACAGTTTAAACTCAAGAAAGTTGTGTATCACACTTTATTCTTTCTCCACACTTATTTAATTTGTAAGTTGAGTAAATCATTCAAGAAGTTAGACTATTAAAAAAAAAAGAAGTTAGACTATGTGAAGAAAACTGGAGGAAGACTGATTAACAATTTACATCATGTAAAAGACACAGTCTTGCTTGTAGGGAGTAAAGAGGACTTGAAGCACTTACTGAAGCAAATTAAAGACCCTTCATTATGGGCTACATCTCAACATCAAGAAAGCAGTAATTGTCACCACTGGATCAAAAGACATTCTCATAGTTAGGGGAAAGATTGTGGTTGTAAAAAATTTTATTTTACTTGAATTAACATTCATGATAGCAAATGGCCAAGAAATCAAAAGATGTGATCAATAGTCTCTGGGGACATCAAGTTTAATTGGAATAACACTGTTTACAAAGGCATTGTTCTACATTCTACTTTGGTGATGAGGGACTAAAAGCTTGAAAGCAGACATCTAAGGTGCAATTATGGACTCCTTGTTTAGATAAAAAACAACCCATAGAAACAGTTAGTTCAAAGTAGTCAAGGATCTTGTAAACTTCAACTTCCAAGACCCTTACACCAGAGGAACTAGATGGTGCCCAGCTTCCATTGCTTACTACCCGGAAAGGATCACAAGAGAAAGTCCCGAACAGAGTGGAAGATAAATACGGAACAGAATTCAAAATCATAAGAAGTCAAGTGTGCTAGTCTCATAGAAATTAGTGGAACCCTAAAGATTATGGATCATAGCCAGGACCTTGAAGCCTAGCACTTTACTCACATCTCTGGCTCTGTTTCACCCAAACCTGAGACAGGCCTAGGAAGTGAGCAGTAGCAGCAAGGAGGAAACAAGTCTTAGAAAATATCAACTACACAAGATCAAAAGGGAAGCATTTTTCCAGGAGTAAATCTTAGAAGGCAGCAGCTAGTAAGAGAGAAGGATTAATGGAAGAACCACAGGAAAGAAGCAGGCAGTGTGTGGTAACAATGTGAGTACTGTGATTACGCTATAAACCAAAGTGTGCATAAATGAGTAAATGGACAACAGACTTGTTGTATAAACTTTCAGTCAAATCACAATATATGAAGGGAAGAAAAGTATGATTTATCATGACCCTCATAACGGCAGAAAATAGAAAGTAATGATCTCTTTATTCGATAAAAAAATAATGTGGGTAGAACTCTACATAAGTATCGATGCTATTTTCTGTGCATTGTTTATATTTTAATGACAAGATTTTTTTTTTCAAAATTAAGAAATCAATCTGTTTAGGCAGGTTTTTTCTCATCTTTAAGAAGGAAGGCAGAGTCACGATAACATTGCTATTTAATTTCAATAGCCTGAGCATGCTAGAATGACGAGATCATTTCTTTCCGTACTTCCCTATAGATCTCAGGAGAACCATGGCAATAGCTGAAGGAAGAAACAACACTTCAGTTACCAGGTTCATCCTCTTGGGATTCTCTGACTTTCCAAAGCTCACAGCGGTTCTCTTCTCAATATTCCTGGTGATCTACCTCATGACAATCTCCTGGAATCTGGGTCTTATCACTCTGATCAAGATGGACTCCCACTTGCACACACCCATGTATTTCTTCCTCAGCAAACTTGCCTTCTTAGACATATGTTATGTTTCCTCCACAGCCCCTAAGATGCTTTCAGACTTCTTCAAAGAACATAAATACATCTCCTTTCTTGGCTGCACTATGCAATACTTCTTCTTCTCTGGTTTTGCACTGTCCGAGTGCTGTCTTCTGGCGGCCATGGCTTATGACCGTTTTGCTGCCATTTGTAATCCTCTCCTTTACACAACTGTCATGTCCCCAGCCCTCTGTCTGCAGATGATGGTAGGGTCTTGCATCACTGGCTTCTTTGGCTCATTTATTCAGCTGTGTGGTATACTTCAGCTCCGTTTCTGTGGTCCAAACGTCATCAACCATTTCTTCTGTGACATGCCCCAACTGCTGATCCTATCCTGCTCTGATACCTTTTTCTTACAAATTATAACTTCTGTGCTCACAGTGATCTTCGGACTAGCCTCTGTCCTGGTTATTATAACATCCTATGGTTATATTGTTGCTGCCATTCTGAAGATCACGTCAGCGGAAGGCAGGTCCAAGGCTTTCAACACCTGTGCTTCTCACCTGACAACAGTGACTCTTTTCTTTGGTTCAGGCACTTTTGTCTACCTATGCCCCAGCTCTAATGATTCTGTTAGCCAAAACAAGCTGGCTTCTCTTGTATACACCGTGGGGATTCCCATGTTAAATCCATTGATCTATAGTCTGAGGAACAAGGAAATCAAGGATGCTTTAAACAGATGGAAGAAAATAATGTTCTCCTGACATTATTCTTTTGACAATGTTTTATTACAGGATATATGAGAAAAAAAAACCCATAAATATGGCTTTAAAAAAATACCTATTCTAGTACCACTTCAAAACTGGTGGACAGCTTTAGTTGAATCTGGCTAGATATTCATCTATTGTTGTTGTTGTTCTGTGCCATTGAGTCACCTGTGACTCTATTAGTGAATAATAATTACTTGTACTTATTAATGAGGAACATTTTTTTGTAATAAAATGAAATTTTAATCCCTTTGCTTAAGACAAAATCAATCACAAATTGGTGTCAAAAATCTTATAAATGTGACATAACTCATTTGTGCTTTCTCCCCTCCATATTTTTATTGAGTAGCATACAATCTTTAATCTACATTGTATTGTGTTTACATATTTTTATATATTTTTTCACTTACAATTGTCTTACTAATAATTACATCTGTGAAAGAACGTAAGCCAGATAATTCATGCCTCCTGCCTTAATATTCCCATTTTAGATAGCCAATTTCTGATTTGCCCATCCCTTTTAAACCAGTAGACTGAGGAAACAGCCCTTTTGCTGAAGAATCTTCTGTTCCATTTGAAAACTTTGAGCATCTGCATCCACAAGCAAAGTCCAGTCCAGAGCAAGCCCTCAGGGTGCAGCAACCAACATTAGCTCACAGCATGGATCATCTCTTCATCTCGTTGGGTTCTGGTCACCTCATCCCCAGCCATTGGTGACAAGGTACAAGGGGACATCAACCACAAATCTGGAAGTCCACATCTCCCCCTGTGTTCCAGGCTTCCTAGTCTCTTCACTCAGCCTTAAGCCCCACACATGGGGCCAAGTCAACAAGCCAGTGTTCCTCAGAACTCCTTGATCCTCTAGCCATAAGCCCTCTCTCGTTTATTCATACAGTTAATGGGGAACTTAATGAAGAATTTCTATTTTGATCTTTTTACAAATAATATTTTTCTCATATCTTTGGTGATAGTTTACACAGAAAATTAAATTTCATGTGATGATTTTGACCCAAATTGTTCAGTACCATTAGTTATATCTTCCACAATGTGTCAACACGCTCTTTGTGTGCTGGTTGTTCCTTTTATAGTGCTTAGAGGTAGTCTCCCTACCCACTTTTCTTCTTTTCTCTTGGCTTTATGGATTATTTATTAAGAACTTTTCCTTAAAATAGAAGAACTTCAGTGGGGAAAAAGTCCACCCAAATTCAGACTTTCAGCAAGGACCAAATCAAGGGTGAAGTCATCATGCCTCATTGTTAATCCCTTTCAGTGGTTGAAGATCATGATAAAAAAAAGTAAATAAATAAGGCCCAAAACAAAAAACATATACAATAGGTACATGAGAACGAAACTTATGACCCAGGTAGTAAATTGCATAGTTGTGTGTCAATATTTGCCTCTTCTTCAAACCTAGAGGAAGATTTTACTTTTTCATTCTCTTGATTTTATGCATAGCTTTATTTATCTCCTGGGTAAATGAAATACAAGTGGGCATGCCATGTCATTTCTAGGGAAAGGTGTTATGTATGTATTTTTCTATCCTTTTTTTCTGTTAATACTTGTATTGGTGACTAACCCAGGATAAAGAGACTATCAACTAACTCATGGTGGCTTAATAGTACTATAAAAAAATTTTCATTTTGAATTCATTGCCAATATAGCATAAATAGATCTTTCATACAGAGTGGTGTACTAATGTAAGAAACTAATAAAATCTTAACATTGGTAAATGTCTTTAGAGCAGGGCAGTGGTTGTGAAAGGGTATTGTATTACAAGCTGGAAAGAGTGCAATTTGTGTTTGGTTCAATAAAGCATTTCATAAAGCATTTCATTTACCTGTGGTGCCTGGAAAGGAGGTTATATAAGAAATGGTGTAATTTCAATGGAATATTATGAAGCACTGAAAAACTCATGAAATATTATATAAAATAGGTGATCATGGAGGACATTATGCTGAACGAAATATCCCAGTCAAAAAAAAGACAAATATTACATAATACCACTGTTATAAAACAGGACTGATATGGGGGTTGGCAGAAACTAAGAGGGGATAAATATTATACACAGCCTTGAAATAGATGATGGAGAGAACTGTATAAAAAGAATATATAAATATGTATTACAGGCATGAGAAGAGTCCAGAATAAGGGCTACATAATAAAGTGGTCTGGGGGAGCTGTATATCAATGAAAGAACTTTTTTTCCCAAGAAAAAAGCAAACTGGGGAGAGGGGAAGCAGGGAGAGAAAAGTGCAAAAATGAATGAATGGAAATTCAATTTCTTTATAAACTTTTATTGAAATCTCAATTAAGAAAAGAAATGGTGTAATCTATAGATGTAGATAAAAATGGGGAAGCAGAATATTTGTAGCATGAGTTGATTGCTGTTGGAGGCATTTAACAAGGTTCACCAAAAAATAGATAAGTCACAAAAGAGTTGGCAAGTCAGAAAGTAAGAATGAAAGAGTCAAGGTATTTGGAGACTTGCAAAATTAGACATAAATCTATTTTTATTTCTACCTTTTTAGTCTTTCTAAAACTTAGAACTCTTTCTAAAAATAGAAGGACTTTGGGGGGAAAACCCAGCCCAATTCAGACTTTCAGCAAGGACTAAAAACAAGGGTGAGGTCATCATGTCTCATTGTTAATACTTTTCAGTGATTGAAAATCATACCAAAAAAAGAAGTAAATAAATAAAGTTATGCTCAATAAATCCTTTCAATAGCATATAATGGTTCATGGAGAATAGAGTTAAATAAGTAAATGGAATTCTCCCCTAGAACCATGATTGTTGTTGTTGTTGTTATGTGCCGTCAAGTCATTTGTGACTCATAGCGACCCTATGTACAACAGCCCTAAACCATGCTCTATCCTGTGCCAATCTCATTGCCTCTGACACACCCATCCCGATTACCCCAGTCACTGAATCAATCCACCTCATAGAGGGTCTTCCCCTCCTGCGCTGTCCCTCCACTCTACCCAGCATGATGTCCCTCTCCAAAGACCTGTGATAGGGTCAAATTACTTTATGATGAGTGTCACAGTCAGTGGACACCCATACAGTATAACTTGAATGTGTGGAGAAAGTAACAATAGGGCAAACTCTTTGACGAAGCATAGAAGGAAACTGAAATATACTCTTTTCCCTTTCTTTTCTTTGGCCTACTGTCTTGAAATTCCAATGCACTAGGAAAGAGGGCAGAACTGAGGCATCAGGGACCTCACTATTCCTCAAGTATATCAGCCAACCACTTGTTGGTAGCTATATTCTAATCAATCCTTCCACCCTAAAGAGAACAGTGATTTGTTCTTACTGAAATTCACATAGGAAGCTGTGCTGCCATACTTCATATTGAGTTGTGCTACTAACCCCCAAAATTGTGTATCTCCAGTTCTTTGTATCTGCTAATGGCTCTGAGGGAGAAAGCTTGGAAGTCTCTTTCTTGGAAACCCAGTGCGGGGTGGGGGGGGGTGAGGGGGGAGGAGTCGGGTCTGTGAATTGGAATCAACTCAATGGCAGTGATTTCAATCTGTGGCTTGAATCCACCAGCTGCTCTATGGGAGAAAGATGACTAATCTGCCGTGTGATTTATTGCCTCTGAAAATCCACTGGAGGGTCGGGTCGGTCAGTGATGGGTCAGTTCAGACTCGATGGCACACAACAACAGCAGCAATGGCAGTGAGTGCGTTAGTGTGAGAGTGAGATGGCACATACTTGCAATGTCAGTTTGACTTCCTCGTCTGCTGCGTCTCTGCTCAAATGGTTTGTAAGTTATCCCAAAGAACGTGGCCCTAACCTGAGGAATTCGGCTTATGACAAAAGAACTGTGCTGATGGGAACATAACTATGAGATCCACTGATCGTATATTGCATGTTATTACACAGACATAGTTGGCTTAAGAACCTTATTAAGGTGTCAATTAGAGGAAAAGATCTGTCCTATGGGAAACTGTGTGCACTGAGCAAGCAGTCGATACGTGATGCTGTGTCTCCAGACGCTAGAATATGTGAGGCTGGGAAGTAAAAGCAGAAACCAAATGTTCAGTGATTTCTATCCACTTTTAGAATTTCTGCCCCCTTCCCTCTCAAACTTAGTATCTAATGTGTTAGAAGTCCTAAATTCCAGCGGTAAACACTTCTGCAAGTAAACACAGTAAGGGCTTCCCAAACTTGAAACTGAAAACTCTGAAAACACCTGGAGTCAAAGAAAGAACTGAGGACAATTGACTGTTGGGTGTCACATTTGGCTTCTACACAATAGGTAAGAAGTGGAACCCAAGGGACTCACTTGATAGGGCGTCTCTTGAGGCTCTGGGTCCGAGGTGAAAAGTGTATGGGCAGGTACAACAATACGAACCTATATCAAGAGCAAGGAAACTAAGGGTCCAGCCTCCTCCAGGGGGAAGGTCTAGGTTAACCCTCCAGAAGAGCGACCTCGACCAGTTTAAGTGGTGACTAAATGTCAGGAAAAATCTGAATGGGTGATGGTTAAGAGATAAGATGGGGACTCAGAGACAGCCACTGCAGCAATAGTATATATACTTCACTAGGACTACTGATTCCGCCTCTCCAGTTGGGAAGGGAGAGGACAGCTAGTTCTCACAACGGACACTGCCTTGTAGTGTGAGTCTGGTGGCTTAGTGGCAAAGAGTTGCTCTGCCAACCCAAAGGCTTGAGGTTCAAATCGGCAGCTCTGTAAGTGAGACATGGGCAATCTCCTCTTGTATGGTTTACTGTCTCTGAAAACCACTGGAGGGTCCACCAGGAGTCGGTTCTGACTTGGCAGCATGCAACAGCAACATACACATGTATTAGACATATCTGTAGTTATAGCTGGATCGTATCAGGAGTCTCTGAATTCCGTCTATGTTTGTTGTATTGTTGTGAACCAGAGTTGGAACCAACCCCTAGCTGACCTTCCAGCGGATTTTCAGAGGCAGCTAATTGCATGGGAGGAGATTGCCCATGCTTCTCCTGCCGAGCAGCTGGTAGCCTC